ATCAAAGTTTATTTTCTGACTAATAAATTTACTAAATAAATATTAAATAAACTACTGAAATATTATTTTTGCAGGCCACATGAAGCTTTTCTAGATGCGATTTCTTGGTTTCCATTAGTATACTGGATGCAGGGATCAATCGATAAGTAAGTTAATAGGGGTTATTGCTATCATTATCATTATCCTACATCAGTAAATAATTTTAATTGTATTAATTGCTTTAATAATACATTATATGATTAAATTATTTTATATGTTAAGAGAAGAAAAATATAAACTCATTTTCTAGACAATAATATGAAATATAGAGATCCGATATCTGTTTCACATATTGATCTGATTTTTTTTTTTTTAAATTCCTAGATAGCAGATTAATTCTTAAGCCAATAATCTACGGCCATGTGTCAAATGAAGTATCTTAACATAATTAGATAATCGAAATTAAGAGATTATATATCTGTTTTAAATATTGATCTGATTTATTTTTATTCCTAAATAGCAGATTATTATTTAAGCCGATAATCCATGGTCCTGTTTCAAGTAAAGAATCTCAACATAATAATTAGATCATCAAAATTAAGAGATCGTATTGCAAATGAAACATTTCGTAGATATTCATTAATAGAAAATTTATTCGCTTAATTTAAACGGAACATTTCTCACAATTACGCTTAAATTAAAATACATTTATTCTACTTAACAGGAAGTGCTCTAGTTAAAATATTGATTTGTAATGAGTATTGCAATAGTAAAACCCCAATTATGTGGGAATTTTGATTTAATCTATGTTTATAACTGAACTAGGATTTACCTCTGAAACTTAATTTTGTGCAACTGATCTGAACTAATAATAAAAAACAATTTTTTTTAATGTCAATTCCTACTTTTTTTTCACTATATTGCTGAAAGTCTTTTATAAATAATTTTCATTCATTTTTTTAAATTTATCTGGCGCCATCTATTGGTAAATACATGCAACTTAAATCTAAAAAAAAACTAAAATTAATTAATTAAATTTATTTAATGAATTAATATTTGAAAAAACTGTATTAACATCCAGTGTCATCCACTACAACTTCAAAAAAAATGTATTTGAGCTTGAGTGGATGAATAAAAAGTATTTAATGGACGATTGAAAATTTGAACAAGATATATATAGGGAGAGTGTGAGCTAATAGAAGGAATTGAAAAAATGAAACAAGTAAATTACAAAATATTTGTAGTCTATTTTTTAAAATTGTGATCCCGTGTTAATTAAAAAATATGTTTCTGCATCGGCCGGGAATCGAACCCGGGCCGCCCGCGTGGCAGGCGAGCATTCTACCACGGAACCACCGATGCTGGCAACAGATGTTTAATAAATTGTATAGTAAAAACATACAATGACCTACTAGCGTAAATATTTCATTAGCGTTGTTTATTTGCACAGCTCCTTTCAACTGTAATATTCATTGATGTCCCTAAGTCATTTATAATGCAGTAAATCTTATCTGTTCTCAAAAATAAAATAACTTATAAAAGATTTTTCTGTCATAGTTTTATATATTACTGTAAATTGGATAAATATCCTGATTATGCATAATCACCGGCAACATATAACGATGATTATGCAAAATTACCAGTGATTATTCATAATCACCAATTAATTACATTTAATGTAACGTATATACATATCTTTTAAAAACAATAATGAAGAGGTAACAAAGTATTTTAAAATAGCTTAAATCAAACAAAAGTAAAATCTACATTTTAATCACAAAGCTGCTGCATTTATAATGCATTAAATCCAATTTTTTTCTTAATAATAGAATAGCTTCTTTAAGATAATTTTTCATTAATGATCTAAGATAATTTTTTATAAGTCTTAGTGATTGAGAACTTCACACATAAAAAAAAAATAATAAATAGTTATTAAAAAAAGATTTTAATAAAAATAAATAAAATAATTATTTTTAAATAAAGATAATAAATAATTATTAAAAAAAGTTAGTTATTGCTAAAACAATAACTAGGGGGGGTCGCTATGTTTTGATGGAGCACCAGTAGGTAGAAGTCTGACTTCTGCTTCGTGTCGCTGCAGAAGGAAGGCGGTGTCTTCCATTAGGACTTTTAAAGGAACTACCCCGCATTTGCGTATCGTATGGAAGAAAACGCGAAAAACTCTCTCCATTTCGAAGCAAAATGCTGAACATCAGAAACGCCATCGAGTTATCTCGTTTTTTGAAACAGTGTTTACAGCAAAGCAGCCAGTGGATTGAGCCTCCACTCTAGTGCTCCCCAGCGGCGCAGGTTGTCACTGAACCACGAGTCAATCATCTTTGCTAATGATTGTATTAATGAAGTATACAGTTGAATTGCCTCCTTGACATTTAATTTTAACATTAATTCCAAGAATTTAAAATAATCATTGTTTTTTCAATTCCTTCTATTAGCTCACACTCTCCATATATATATATATACCTTGTTCAAATTTTCAATCGTTTATAAAATACTTTTTATTCATCCACTCAAGTTCGAATATATATATATATATATATATATATATATATATTTGAACTTGTAGAGGATGACACTGGATGTTAATACAGTTTTTTTCAAATATTAATTCATTCATTACATTTAATTCATTAATTTTAGTAGTTCTTTTTAGATGGCGCCAGATAAACTTACAGAAAATGAATGAAAATTATTTATAAAGGACTTTCTGGAATAGAGTGAGAAAAAAAAGTAGGAATTGACTTTCAAAAAAAAATTTTTTTATATTACTTGTTTTAACATTAATTTCCAAGAATTTAAAATAATAATTGTTTTTTTTTTTTTTTTTTTGGAAAAGAGTCGGGAGCCGGATTTTTACCCCAACTCCTGACTGTCCACCTCTGTTGGTAACAACATAAAAATGTCCTTTTTCAATTCCTTCTATTAGCTCACACTCTCCCTATTTATATCTTGTTCAAATTTTCAATCGTTAATAGAATACTTTTTATTCATCCACTCAAGCTCAAATACATTTTTTATGAACTTGTAGTGGATGACACTGGATGTTAATACAGTTTTTTCAAATATTAATTCATTAATTAAATTTAATTAATTAATTTCAGGTTCTTTTTAGATTTAAGTTACATATAGATGGCCAATAGATGGCGCCAGATGCACTTAAAAAAAATGAATGAAAATTATTTATAAAGGACTTTCTGCAATAGAGTGGAAAAAAAGCAGGAATTGACTTTAAAAAAAATTTTTATATTACTTGTTTTGTAAAACAGTCGGGAATCGGATTTTTGCACCAACTCCTGACTATCCACCTCTGTTGGTAACAACATAGAATACGTTTTTTCCGCAGTTTGGACGATCTCCTGCGCTCCGGTATCAACCTAGCGGACAGCGTGGTAGTGGTGAACAAGGAATCGACGAATTCAGCCGAAGAGGACTTCTTGGCAGATTGCAACACTATCGTGGCCGTCCAGACGATGTTCAAGTGAGTGAAAACTTCTCTTTCGTTGGATCTGCTTTTCGAGAATTTGATATTATGGCAATCATTCTAATGTCCAACATACACTGAACACGTTGTACAAATAAAATGTTGTTGTTCAAGACGTGGTCATTAAATATATATCCCACATTTTACAAACTTCAATGGTAACTATTCTAAACATTTACTTTTAAATGTGTTACATTTAAGATTCATTTTGTGGACATTAATATCGCATTAATAAGACGCCAGATCAATAAGTGTATATCATGTCTTTTACTAACGTCAATGTAAATTAATCTTAACATTTACCTTTAAACTTCTGACATTTAAGATTCACTTAGAATATATTTTGTGGACATTAATATTACATTCATAAGATGCCTTCTGTATCTTATAAGCTTGTATGTTCTGTATAGTCTTTTTCAGGGGGCAAACACAAATACAAAATAGTTACAATGCCATGTCTCTTTCAATATTTTTTTTGTAGGATGTTCCCCAGCGTTCGGATCATTACTGAACTAAGCCAGTCCAGTAATATGAGATTCATGCAATTCAGAGCTAATGACACTTACGCACTACACCTTTCAAAGATGGAAAAGGTAAACTCTAAACTCTAATTTATCTCTAGAATCTCTAATTTCAATTTCAGAGCAAGTCTTATCGTTTTTATATGAATTTTAAATTAAAAAATTATTCACCTTCTACATAATTTGTTAAATTGACTATTGTACGATATTTTTTTTTAACATAAATATTTAGATTATTTCTCTAAACCACTTCATCAGAATTAATAAATATATGTTTTTAATTTAGGTGATTACTTAATTAAATGAAAGCAATTATGAAAGAAAAAAAAATATTTGATTTCAAAAAATAAAAGTTTCTTAAAATACAGAGGAAAAAAGTCAAACGGTAAATGAATGTTTGAATAAAAGAAAAATTGAAATTGAAATGGACAATAAGAATTTGATATAGTTAGGGACCAGTTATGGTTCTTGCATAAATTTGGATGGGAAAAATAGCGGCATAAAAGGAGATAAATAACTGATGAAAAGGAATTAAAGAGGAAAAATAGGTGAATAGGAGTCTGGATTGATAAAGAAGATTACCACAGGATTAATTTACTAGAGATATTTTGTGGACCAATTTAATTTATAAATCACTACAAGAATAGGAACCTTTTAAAAAAATAATGCAGTTACTATCATCACTGACAAGTTCATCTTCCATTCCTAACTCTTGTTGTTTTGTTGTTTCTTATCCCACTTGGCTGGCCAAGCCCACGAGCCCATATGGACTCATGATTGAAGGGGAAGGAAGCAGCTTCTGTTGTGATGGAGCACCCGTAGGTAGAAGCCTGACTTTTGCTCCGTGACGCTCTTACAGTCATAGGAGACCGGGACCTACGGCTTAAAGTGGATTCCGAACCACTACAAACATCCATGGCACCGCCGGGATTCGAACCCGAAACCTGTGGCACCGAGCGCCAGAGCGCTAGACACTCGGCCATTCAGGTCCCAAATTTGCCAACGGCACGCGGTGTTCCCAGGTGGTCACCCACCCAAGTACTGACCGCGCCCAATGATGACTTCGGTGAAAACCTTTTGGATACGGAACCCCTTTCTCACCCCACCCCCTCCCCTCGAATGACGAGATCTAACGAGAACCGGTATATTCAGCATGGTACGGCCGTTGGACCCATTCCTAACTCTAATTAACAAAAATAAATGAGAATAAATTCACTGCTTATTGAAGAGAATCGCCAATGTATTAACAGTCAATCAAAATGCAACTTAACTAAGAGCAATCGCAATACTTGTTGTTACTAATAAAGAAATTTAGAAGCAAATATCCAGATATTAAATCGACTTCAATGTCTTAAACGAAAGCATAAGCAACAATCTGTAATTCTTTTTTTAGTTTTATATGTTTGTTTACTACGTGACAAATCGAAAGTCTTTTAGACTGTTATCAAATAGTCTTTTATTTGAACTGAAACTCAAACTCAAAAATCTTCCCTGAAACTTGGCTTAAAAATCTGAAGAAATTAGAGTAATTTTTTTTATAAAGTATATCCAAATGACATGCCCCAATAAAGAATTTACAAAAAAAAAAAAAAAAAAAAATTCTAACATGTAAGAACCAAAATACACAGGGTGATTATAATTAAAGTCCCACTTTCCCAATGCTGTAAAAAGAAAAACGAACCACTCGTCACGATGAGTTCAAATCTGAACCGAAGATACTTGAAGAAGGGGAAAAAGATATGGCATCAAAAAAAAAAAATGACTAAAAAGTTCCACCGATTTTCTCCCATCCAATTTGGTTATGGCCTTGCCGTGGTGGATGAGCTTTCCACTAACAGCATCACAACTGTTGAATGATTTGGGACTCATTTTTTTCCCGTCAAAAAACCGAAACAATCAAGCACATTGAACACTACAGTTGGTTTAATGTGCAACTCATGCCGAATATACTTTAATTTCGATTCAAAATATCACTGGCAGCCGAATTCCCTTTCTTTGTGCCAGCGCCATCTATTAGTACACTTTGGAACTTGTTTTTGATGCCGGACAGTTACTCCCTTCTTCAAGTATCTTCAGTTCGAATTTGAATTCATCGTGACGAGTGATTCTTTTTTTACACCATTTTGAAAGTGGGACTTTAATTATAACCCCCCTGGATATTTTGGTAATTATATGTAAGTATTTTTTTTTTTTGTAAATTTTTCAATAGGACGCAATGTCATTTGGATCCACTTTATCAATATATATATATATAAAAAAATATATTGATACATTGTTTCCTTTCCTCTTAAATATGATTCATCTCTAATTTTTTTAAAATTTGTTTCAGAGTGAACGCGATAGAGGATCCCACATTTCTTACATGTTCCGTTTGCCTTTTGCTGCTGGAAGTGTTTTCAGTGCCAGCATGCTGGACACCCTCTTATATCAAGTGAATATACACCCCCCTCACTTGAAACTTTCAGTTTCGATGGATATTCTTTCACTTTTGTCATGATCTGTTTTACTGAAAACTTTTTTTAATTGCAATGGTCTCTTTTGTAGGCTTTCGTAAAAGAATACATGATAACATTTGTGAGATTATTGCTGGGCATTGATCAAGCACCAGGATCTGGATTTCTTTCTTCCGTAAGTAGAAAGCACTTTTACTCAAAAATTGAAGTAATTATTTTAAAACTAACTTAAAAAGTGTGGGTGCAGTGTAGTAGTGAAACACATGGCTTAGTCTGCTACATATCCACCTTGTAACGGGGCAAATTACACATCAAAATACCCGGTATTGGAAAACAACATTTTCTACTGTGATTTCTGAAGTAGAAGACAAAGCAACATTTATGATTAATTTTAAAAATTATCACAATCCAACTAAATATCTTTTTCTGTAACAAACCTTTAACACAACTTCTTCTAAGTCCCTGACAATCTTTGAAAAAAATTTCTACTGCTTGAGAATTAGCAAAAAAAAAACATTTAAGATCATGTATAGTTCTCAAAGCATCTGCTGACGTTACTGATTTCCAGGGCTAGATTTTCCTATGTAGGCTTATACATTGTTAGTATGTAGGCTTATGCATTGTTGAGGCTCTAGGCTTCAGCCTAGAGCCTCAAGATCAAGAGGGGCCTCGAGTCAAATAAGTGTTCTCGACTTTTTTTGTGCCACATTTTTTATAAATATTAGTACCCATCACAACATATTTCATTTAACATATTGATATATATCACAGTAATGATGTATTTTATTATCTCTCATGTAATTAACTTAAAAATGGGAGGTGAAATGGCCTCACAAGTGGAATAGCCTAGGGCCTCTTTTCATCTAAGTCCGGCCCTGCTGATTTCTCTTCACCTTCACTGTCATCCACATCGTTACTTCCCCGGACATTCGAATCTATTAACACATTAGAAACAATATTTGATGTAGAATGTTATCTGTTAGTAGTGAGATCGTCCTCAGTATTGTATTTCTTTTGCTATTTTACTACGAATATCACGATCTTGCAAGATTTTGTGCAAGCTCCAAATAAGGTAAGATCTTCATCGGCTTCCTTCTGATAAATCATCTAATTCTAGAAAATTATTGAAACCAGCATGTCGGAAGCAGCTTTCAGTTGTTTTACGTAACAACTGAACTAAGATTTAAACTCTGTTAAATTGCATTTAGCTGGGCCTGATGGCCGAATGACGAAAGCTCGGTACCACAGATTTCGTGTTAGAGTCCCGGTGGTGCCATGGATGTTTGTAGAGGTTCTCAATCCCCTTTAAACCATAGGTCCCGGTCTATTATGACTGTAGAACGTTGGACGTAGAGCTAACAACCCTACCCCGTAAAAAGAAATCCTCTCATGTTTCGGAATCTGCCAGTAGGAGACGGGCTTGGCCCCCTTGGGGCTGTTGCGCCATAGATATACACGGCAGCGATTATATCTTTTATCATCATCAATATCCCAGGGTGTGTCAAGGCTTTCCTTTGAAGAGATTTCCACGCATTCCTCTGGATGACAAGGGTCCTCCAGTACTTAACCTTCAGTACAGCAAAATCTTTTTCAACTGCATCTATCCTGGGTTATCCTCTTCCTTTTTTTTTCCTTGTAGCTTTGCCAAAACGAGCCTTTTTACAGGATGTAAATCATTCATTCTAAATACATGAGCAGCCCAGTTTAATCTATTGATCTTAATTAAATTTTATAACATATGGGTCTTTATAGCGTTTATAAATTTCTGCTTTGTACCATCTTCTCCAATAATCGCTTTCCCTAATACCACTAAGAATAACCCTTAAAATCTTCCGCTCAAATTTATCGCAGGAGTCACAATTCATATGCATAAAAACTAAATTTTTGTTATATTAAACCCTATTTTGGTCTATAGTTTTGAAACATATACTTTGGTAAGGTATGATGAGGAACATGTGAGTGTATTTGATCATATCTTTTAGTAGAAGCTTTTTATAATTAGCCTTAAAGTTTCCACCTTGTTCTGAAAGGCTGTGATATACATTTACTGATTAGAGGGAAAAAACTGAATTCAATTTATTTCAAACCATCAATAATGCAGCGAGAAGATACTGTTATCCGCCATCTTCCTTTTTGTTCAGAAAAAATCCGATTCCAACTAATTACTGTGTTTTCAATTCCTTCTATTAACTCACACTCTCCCTATATATATCTTGTTCAAATTTTCAATAGTTCATAAAATACTTTTTATTCCTCCACCCAAGTTCAAATACATTTTTTTTAACTCGTAGTGGATGACACTTGATGTTAATACAGTTTTTCAAATATTAATTCATTCATTAAATTTAATTCATTAATTTTAGGGTTTTTTTAGATTTAAGTGTTGCATATATCTACCCATAGATGGCGCCAGACAAACTTAAAAAAATGAATGCAAATTATTTATAACGGACTTTCTGCAATAGAGTGAACAAAAAGTAGGAATTGACTTTTAAAAAAAAATTTTATATTACTTGTTAGGTCTAATGTTATCCATGCTTTCTTATTAGAGTTGAAGGATACGAGTAAAAGCAACTTTTCATATACCTAAGCTTCAAATAATCGATAAGATTGCATACAAACATATCCAATAAAATAATACTATTTTAATTTATTTCAAGCATTCGTAGGACAAAATCAGTAGCAGATAAAGTTTTTATTTCTCGTCAGAACTCATTGACAGCCTGAATTCAGTCCTTTATGATTTAAAATGAGAAATTTTTTTCCCTGCAATTTGATTAATATGTTCTATTGAGTATTTTGGATCGTTTGATTTTTTTTTTTTCTGAACTGTTTATGATAAAACCTGTTATAATGAATTTATTTCTAGATGAAGATAACGAAAGAGGATATGTGGATACGAACGTACGGGCGTTTATATCAAAAACTCTGCTCATCAACCTGTGAAATACCTATTGGGATATATAGGACACAAATGGCGGGACCATGCGAAGCTTCAACGGTAGGAATAGTTTTATCTTAAAAGCTATTTTGTCTTGATAACAAATTGTTAAATTTTCCAAGATTTGATATAAAAAATTAACGAAATGTCTCATTTTTTTAAAAATTTAAATTATAATTATATCTACTATAATTGTAACTTATTGATTTATCTATTATAATTATAATTATCCGAAACTATGCTTAAAAACTTGGAGGAGAAATTGTGAAAAGGAATCAAAATTACACGGGAAACCATGGCCAAAAATGCCATTCGCAAGAAATAAAAACACAATGAACATAGACACCTTCACCGAGTGATTCTACCCCTGTGACCTATATAATACAATATCGGAGACCCATGTGCATAATTATCAGGCGTTTCTTTCACTTGCTATATTTTAATAAAAATTTGCAATATTTTATAAATTTATAAATGAAAATATCCTTCTACTTTTAGATTATAAAAATGCGTTTCGATTACCATAATCATACCCATTTTTGGGTTGGGTTCCACCAATAACAAATCCCATTTAAGATGATTTTTAAATGGATGATTCCGCTTCTGTCCCACCAAACATACCGCATTGCCTTCTTACAGTGCACGTCCTTCGTTATTCCTTTTGGTGAAATTCCTGGCGAAACGCAGGCCTTCTTTCTTTTGAGGTTTTTGAAGGGAAGCCAGGATTCATCCCCAGTGACAAGATCCTTCAGAAAGAGACCCCGCTCGTTTCG